GAAATGGAAGAAGTAAAGGAGGAGGAGAAAGAAGGAGAAGAAAAGGAGGAAAAGAAGGTGAAGAAAAACAAGAAAATGAAAAAAAAGAAAAAGAAGATATGGAGAAGGAGGAAGGAAGTAAAAAGAACAAAGAATAGGGAAAAAGAAGAAAAATATTAAAAGGAGAAAAAAATACAGAGACTAAACACAAATCTCTAACACACATACACACACACACACACACACACACACACACACACACTCACTCACACACAACCCCCAATAATAAAGAGTCAAAGGAGAAAAAAGAAAAATATTGATTTAATGAAAATAAATCCATGTGTGTTTTTAAATGAATTAGTATTTTGTATCTACATTCTTGAAATCTAGTGTCTGTTTTCTCTACTGACTTTTCAACTCTTTAAAGCTGAGACAAGTGATCTTATACCATCAGGTCAGAGAAAGAACACCCCGCTGTTTCTTTCAAAAATTTGTTAATATTTGAAAAATATTGTTTTAAATACTTGCCAATGGAACAAAGTGTCTGACAATCATGAGTTAAAGGAGAGGATTTTTTTGGCTCAGAGACTGTAAACTTTTCAGTTCATGGTCAGCTGGTCACAAGAAGTACCAGGGCTCATCAACTCAAGGCAGGTGGGATATATATATATATATATATATATATATATATATATATATAATTTATATATTTCTCACAGTGATGTGCCACCTTCCTCAGTTCTTCACTTGCTAGCGTCATAGTCAGCTATAAACCCATCAGTAGACCTGTCCAGGTAAATATATCCAGTATCCAGAGTCGCACATGTGTGATCTGGTGACTTCCCAAAAGCTTCCCAAATGCATTTATTCCATCTCTAAGAGTTCCAAAAAGCTTCCCAAATGCATTTATTCTGTCTCAAAGAATTGCCAAAAACCCAATAGTTTCAGCATTGTAAAAAGTCAGAGGAGAATTTGGAGTTCAGGAGATGACCTGAACTCCAAGCATATCCATCATTTCCTCCATTGTTAAGTAATAGCCCAATTTCTCTTCATAATCTGAATCAATCACCTTACCATCAATGGAGTTCTGTTTTGAACTAGTAAATTAGAGGAATGAGCAACAAAAATGCCCTCAGGGAAGTCTTAGCATCCAGTTCAATGGAATATTTGTTAACATTCCTGGGATAAGCTTTCCCATCTCTGGAATTTAGGCTTTGTGTTTACCAGAATGCAAGGTCATAAAAACAGATAGCAAACATTTTGTTGGTGGATAACTGGGATTAATGGTGACTGGTACAGCTCCCACATCCAACACTGTTTCGTTCATTGTTCCCATAATTCCAGTTTGTTTTTGAATGTAGCCACTTCATCTGTCAAAGTGAACATGGTTTCTCTTTTCTCTAGAAGTTAAAGAATTCATTGAGTAGTTTGAATAAGTCATATAAATAAGCAAGTTTCATGATGCATTTTTCTATTACTGAAAATCTTTGGTAGTGGTAACTGTTTTTCTACAAACAAGCCCTGGAGGAGGTCTCTAAGCTCAAAGACTCTACTATTATCTACCTTTCGACTACCATCTAATTTCCATACATGAGAAAGTGTGTGTGTGTGTGTGTGTGTGTGTGTGTGTGTGCATTCATGTGTATGTGAAGCACTTGAATGGTTGTCCAAAGACACAAAACATACAGTGTTACCTCATCAAAATTGATAGACTCACCTACTGGCATTGTAGACCACCCTCACTCATTGATCCTTTATTTCATCAATCCATCTAGTTAAAATGTTAGCTGAAAGAAGAACATGTGTCACCTATTACTTCTCACCTCTCCTAAAAGTTAATGACAAATGTCCTGAGAAGTAGGTAGTAACAACTCTTCTGCAATACTAAAGAACTCTTTAGCATTAGCTCTGTGGTTAGCCGCTAAAAATAATTCTCTAATTACAAGCACATCTGATGAAGTAGTGACCTTCAATAAGCTATTGTTTTTTATAGTCACATTTCTTTTGCTGAACTCCAAAGGACTGCCTTGTAGTGCAGGGTTTTGATGTCCATGTGGCAAAGCAGAGTTGAAAGTGTTAAATCTTACATGGATATTCAGTCACCACATATCATACATTGTAGATTTGGAGAATGTAATCACCTGTTACTATGCATTGAATAAGGGACTCAGCATTTTCTTTTAAAAACAGATTTCTTTGTCTGATCAGTCTCAAGATCTTCTGTTGTTTAATCACTGAGTCTTTCAACATTGGTCTCTGTACAGTAATATTTGACTTTTATTCATTTTTGCTAAGAATACTTTGTAGATTTATCAAAACTATGACTGAGACAATTGTGCATTATACAAATGATATGCACATAGAAGTAATAAATAGAACAAGTGTGGGACATGAATGGACTAAATATTTTGGATTCCAATTTAAAACTTACCACAGATGCATCTGTACAACTGAAATACATCAAATCTCTTGTCAATGTAAATGCCATAACTTGATGCAACATAGTTGGCACTTATCCCTCACTAATATGGTTTTTATATGATTCTGAAAGCAATTGATTTATTATGGTCTCTTTGTGATCAAAAATTTCTCCTAATATAAATTTATTTCAGCCTTTCTCCAGAGCTAGCATCATATCCTGTGCTTCACCTCAATTCGTGAGCCTTTAGTCTCTCATAAGGAGAAGACACATGCTTTATCTCTCACATTTGCAGTTATAGGTAGGGTTTATGTTTATATGAGCATTTAATGCCTCTATTGATGATTTGACAGGTGATTGATTGGGGATTGATAGTGGGGATTGATTCAAAATACATGCGAAGTTTCACATGCTCACATAGCACTCATATCCTGATGCTTCATCTGGTTCCTAATATGCCATGGACTAGATACTGAGGTTATGGGTTCCTGTACTAATGGATTGTTGTATGGTAAATGAATCCCACATATCTGAATACATCATATTCTGTCATAACGTATGTTTTAAATAAATCACTTAATGCAATGTGCTACTTTGTTGAAACTCTTTGCATGTATATTCATGAGAGATAGTAGTTTATCCTTTCTTTCTTCTAATGCCCTCATCTAGTTTGAGTATGAAGGTGATGTTGGCCTAATAGAATGATATGGTAAGATTGTAGAAAATTGATAATTTTTCCCTTACATATTTGATATAATCATCCTGTGAGTTCTTCTGTGTCTCGTGCTTTAAAACATTATGATTATCATAGACTCAATTTTGCTTTATGTATGTTCATTAAGATGGTCTATTTCTGTTGTGTGAATTTGAGTAGACTGTGTCTTGCTAGGAATTGGTTGTCTGGGTTATTAAAATATTGGAAGCATATATTCCCATAATGCTTCTTCATTATCTTTTCAATGTCCATGGGCTAAACAGGGATGTGTTTACTTTTAATTCTCATATTGACAATTTGTATCTTTTCTTTTTTCCTATTTACCCTAGCCTAAATCTTACAGGTTTTATTGATCTGTTCTAAGACCTGTTGATTTCCTGTAAGATTTCCCTCTAAGATTCATTGATTTCCTGTATTGATGCCTTGCTTTCAATTTCATTGATTAAGCTCTAATTTTATTTAATTTACTTTTTTTGAGTTTGAATTTGCTCTTTCAATACCAGTTTCATAAGGTAGAAATTCTTTTAGTAATAAATGTTTGGAAAACATAATGCTTATATACTTGTGTGTAGTAGGTACAGGTATATAACACACCTTATTGTTCCGATTTAAGTCTTCCAGCCATTTTTTATCATTCTGGCTTTAACAGAGACTTTTATACAATTTAATTTTCTCTTTTTATTAGCTTATAAGTTAGAATCTCAAATTTTCATTGCTTCTTTTAGAGTTTGCAATATGCATTTAAGTTAATCTAAGTTCACTTTCAAATAAGTTCACTTTCATTCCTTTAATGAGAACAATCAAATACCTCTAAAGCTTCTTTTCTTTCCTTTATCTGATGGATGTCATTCATTTTCCTTACATATAATCATTCATGAGTATAGGTTTCAACATGTAGATTATATATAAAAAACACATTCTTGCAATTCTTTTGATAGTCGTATCTGTTAAATCAATGAAGAATAGGAAAAGTAAAAGTTTTATTTTCAGTTATTCCTTCTCTGCAACTATATATATAGCATTTCATGTACCTTACCCTATATACTAAACAATGTATCGTAGGATAGTTTATTGTCAATGTTCTCAGAACACTTAGGTTAGTCTACAGTGCAGAGTTAGCCAATGTCAAGACTGTTTATAATGTAGACTCTCAAGTATATACCCAATAGAATTACAGTTAATAATACAATTTTCAAACTGCAGAAAATCAAAATGAAAGACAAACTCCTGAAAGAAATCAGAACAAAAATGATCCTTTATCAGTAGAAGAATATTATACCTCTTTTCTTTAAGCAAACATACAAACCAAAATACATGGAGTATACATAGATGGGCTTTTGGTAGATATGGTGGGAGAGAAATCATTAAATTTAATACTCAAAAAATGGCGACACAAAGTATTGAAGAGTATGAGCTTTTTACTGTAATGATTGTGTGGCTTAACAGGAGCAGCTGTGTGATTCTGCTGTCCAACATCTAAAATGTCACTCCATTTAACGCCAACCCAGGGAAAGCCTAAATAATTATTTAGCAGTATAGCATACAGTATAGGAAGAGGACCCATATTCTATAATCTTGTGTTTAAGTATTTTGTCAGCTTTAAGCCTATCTCTCAGTATTTCCCTTCTCCCTTATTTAAGAAGAAAATTGTTTAAGGGACATGGATTCAGCTATCTTCCTTCTTCATTGGAACTGAGTATTTGTGTCTGTGTTATCTTTTATAAATTACCCAAAACTTCTTGTGTGTTAATGAAAGGAGTAATTTGATTTGTATTCATGTTTTTGTATAAAATTTCAATTTTTCTCTATGACATTTATATATTACAGAAAAATGTAAATAATTACATACAAATTGAAATGATGTTTCACTTTTTCTCTCTTTTATAGAAATTCCTACTTGGGATTGAATGTGTCATTAAAATTTTTAGCAATTGTTGAATATATTCTATTTATTTATGTCTTAAAGAAAAAATATAATGGAAAAGATTCCAAGACATTTGAAGAAGGAGGAAAATTTACAAATGGAGCAAACCTTGAGTCATCAAATAACAATGAATATTTTGAACCTTCTGCAATAGTCAAGGAAACACAATTTTAAGGGAAGAAAAAGATTTCTCTTTCTGTTTCTGAAAAAAGAAAAGCATGTATTGATGTTGTAATTTGCTCTTTTTCAATTCCTGGTCATTTCACTGTGAGTTCTCACAGTGTACAATGATAGAAAAACAATGTTTCTATGAAAGAAAAATAAAGAAAAAGTAATGGGAAGAGTCATGTTAGGGTGTTGCTACATACTTATAGTTAATACTGAATACAAGATCCATGTGAATTTGAAATGAGATGCCTGGTTGATGTATATTAAAATAAAAGATATTTAATCAGTAATTGTATCTCTTAACAAGATTTGCCAATAGAAAATAGACAAAGGAAGAGCCGAGTGTTTAGCTCAGTAGCACAAGCTCCTGCTTGGCAATTGTGAAGTCATGAGTTTGATCCCTGGTTTAAAAAAAATAGACAAAGGTGACAAAAAGAGAGTGAAATTCAGAGCCTAAGCAAGGCAAAAATCGTGATGTTTTAGACAAGTAAGAGTGGATATTTTTTCTGTAGTCTGAAGTCTAGGCATGATGGAGGAGTCATGCAATCTTAACATGTATTTTTTTGCAAGTCATACATGTCACATACCTCATTAATTGAAATTCTGAAGTGGTCTTTGACTTGACCAAGGTTATCTTCTTCAAATAAGATAATGCTGAAGAATTTGAAATATTAAAACATTTGCAACCATATTAGAAAATGTAAGTTTCTATCACAGCCATGGATATGGTTTGATACAAATTGACTGTAACTTCATAAAGCAATACTGTTTAATGCATGTTTTCATTGTACCTGTCTGTTCTCTGGAAAAAGTAAAGTAGAAGGCAGATAAAATATCAGTTATTGTCATTCCATGCTTTTTAATTGTTTGGGGTTTTTTCATTCATTTATTTGGGCTTAAAAATGTATCTTTCAAATTTCTGTTAGGAGACCTAAAGTAAAGTGAATGAAAACAAATATTTGAATATTGTATTCTCCAGTGAAATTGATTCAGTGTGATGAATGCTAGAGTTGTATGTTTCTTCATTCTCATTGTTTGCAAAGTTTTTATGCCTCATTTACATTGGAATCACGTGTCAAATTAAAAACTACGTAATAATAGATTCGCTCCTCCAATTTTGATTTAAAGCATCTATGATGCATTCTGAATATAACATAAAAATTCTCTTTATAATGATAGGGATCCTTGATGGAAGACAAAACTCAGGTCAAGAGAAGATATATCTGAGTAATGCAAAGTCATGAATGTTTGCTTAAATCTAGGAATTTTTGAAAGTCATACATATTAAACTACTTTCAGATTGTAGATCTGAGAAAATAGATCATTAAATGAATAATTTGGGGAAAAGACACCTCATGCTAGGTCACTGAGTACCACATAACATTTTTATGCTATATTATAATTTATCAAAATAAATAAAAAAACTATACTGCTGTTTTAAAAAATGTTACCAGGAAAATAGATAATATCTTCAATATTTATTTAATAATTATTTAACGTTAGCTATTTGTCAGGCAGTACTGGATAAGAAGAAGTAAAGGTAAAACTGACAATCTTTTGTAGTATACTTTAAAGATAGAGATGGATATTAAAAATTAAATGTAGAACAACATAAAATAAAAGAATAAACTTACAAATGTGATATGTTTAGTGAAGAAAAGAAAAAGATTGCAAAACAAACCTCACTTTATCTAACTGCAAAATCCCAGGATCCATGACCATACTAATTATTAACCTAGTAACATTTATTAAATAGTAATATAAATCTTAAGAAAAAATAGACCATAAATTCAGTAGAATGATAAATATGGGAAATCAAATTTTTAGGAATTAAGGTAAACATATAATTAAAAAGTACATTAAGGTTAAAATAACAAAATGACTGAAAATATCAAATCATTGCTGGCATTACATTTAAATTCTCAAATGGGAAATTGTGGAAGAAAAATATAAAGTGGAAATTTGAGAAAGCAGGATTAACATAGAAGCCTAAAACATCAACTTAAGATATAGGATTTGTGAGATGTAAATTGGAAATGGAAAAGCTGCATTAGTCGAAGACAAAAGAGGAAGAGGAATGGCTTTTTCACATGAAGAAAGATGAGCATATTGACTGGAGTATCTGCATGCAACCTGCATCCCACCTCTATCTACTGATGTGCAATGAACCTTTTACCATGCTCCTTCACATTCTGGAAATGGCCTTGTTTTCTCTATTCAACTACTTTTCAGTGTTTTATCATCATATCTTGAACTTTTCTAATGTCATCACTTGATAAAAATATATTATATCCATAGCAACATAGTGCTTATGAAACAGTAACTTGTTTAAGGCATAATTTTACATTTATTTATGATTACTGGATAACTAAAGGCTCTCTCACTAGTCATAAGGTCCAGGAAAATAGAAATTGAATTCATTTTCACACATTGGAGATGACAGACAGACAGGTAGATAGATAGATACTAATGACTAGGAAGAGAGAGAGAAAAGTTAATTAATGAAATTCATTCAAGTACTTACAAAGGCTGAGGGGTCACAGGCAACCTGTAAGCTGGGAGGTTTGTGCATTGCTGAACTATGTTCAAAGTCTCGGGACCCAGAGAACCAAATGGTGTGCTTCTCATGTGAAGTTTTAGAAGTAAGAAGGCTGGAAATCCACTGATACAACTTCCAGAATCATGTTCCAGGGCAGGAAATGTAAAATGTTCTAGCTCCAGGAAAAAGAACAAATTTGTCTTTTTCTCTCTCTCTCTCTCTTTTTTTTTTTTTGTTCTGTGCAGAATCAAGATAAGTAGGTGGTGCCTGCTCACATTAAGAGCATTTTCCCACTCAGTCTTCCTCAGATTTTTCATGGCAGTGTCATCTGGAAATATCCTTACTGATGTATTCAACAATAAGCCATTTCTACTTCTCTAGATATCTTATGATTTACTCAAGTTGATAAAAAATAATTATCACATCTATCTATTTAACTCTTAGCACCTAGCTTGTTGCCCAATACACAGGAGCTATTCTATTTATACATTTGAAACAGTGAATGAATGGTGAAGCAAACTCCAAAATACCAATCATATTAAACAGATTCTACATATAAGAATTTAGAATTTTGTGCTAACATTAAAGTAGCTACAATAAAGTCATGCAATGGGAGATATTATTTCAGGTGCTTGGAGAATATCTTTATTGTAAAAGAAAAACTAAGTTTAAACTGTAGAAAAAAAGAAGTATCTTCTGGCAGAAATTTATGTGGCAAGTATGGAGAGAAAAGCATTTAGAACATAGACTCCCTGATAGACAAGCTCACAAGTGGAGAACTAGTTATGTAACATGATAATACATAAGTTCATTATACTATGATAATAAGTTCATGATAATACACTGTATAATGAACTTAAACTATGTATTATCACAGAATAAAACTGTTGACATTCACTTAGACAGCCCATGATAATCTGTTTCAAATTCAATATATGTAGCCCAGGAGTTTTTACCAAAATAAAATAATTGATAATTTGATGGTGGACATTGTCATTTTCTTCTTGTTTGTCTCCTTCTATTTCTGAGTAGACTTTGCTTATTGGAACGAAAACCCAACATGATAAGAAAATAATACAAGTAATGTCATTTCAGCCAAAGCATAGAGAACTCCTGGCCAGTACTCAACATTTATACTTCACTGTGCTAACCAGGCTTTATTATAATATTTACACCAAGTTTTATCACTAGAACTCCCAGTGTATTATGATCTGGACTTCAGTAAAATTGGAAGAGGTAATATTATCAGTTATCTCACATTATACAACTCCAGTCATTTGGTGGTTGATGATAGTTTCTTTGCTGCTGGGTTTAAATGCAGGGCTTGAGGTATACCAAGCATGTATTCAAGTACTGCTCTAAATCCCCAGATCCAGTCACTCATAAGAATCAGTTCTTACTAGAGTAGAACAATATGAGATTCACAGATCAGGAAAAAAAAATTGTCAGCTTTTTAAGAGCAGATCTTACTAATAAAAATGGGAAATGTCTAAATTGTCTATTCCTTTGAGTTGCATGCATTTAAAAAGTTCATTTGTCCAAAATTCTGAGCTATAACTCAGGTTTGGTTCTGGTGATTGCTTTTTCTACTCAGATTTTTGTTCCGTTGTCTGTGTATGTCTGAGAATTTTCTGTTGAAGCCCATAAACTAAGCACAGAAGAATGGATAAGCACTGTACATTTATATTTTTATTTATGGGGATGTGAACATCTACTCTTCTGCTGTATGGCTTTGTTTCAGATGCATGGCTGAGTCAGAAGTCTGTTGTTGAATACAACAAAGCTTCAAATTCCTCTAAGGAAACTATATATCAGTAAATAGCCATATTTTAAAAACACAGCAAGCACATATAAAAACTTAAAGGGAAACCTCAAACTTCTAGAAAAAAAAGCACAGGCCTAGCCAAAAAGTTCATATGAGGGAGGAAATTATAAAGATCAGAGCAGAAATTAATGCAATGGAACTTTAAAAAAAAAACACAATACAAAGAATCAATGAATCAAAGAGTTGATTCTTTGAAAAGTTCAATAAAATTGACAAACCCTTAGTCACCTCTTATGTGTTAAAAACTAGTGGTCAGCTTAACATCAGAGAAATTAAATTAGTATGGTGCTGAGTAGAGATAATCCACCTGAGGAAAGTTGCCAGTATAAATAGAAATGTGGAGAAGAGTGGGGCATTGTGGGTTCTCCTAAATGTTGCTTTTTTTGAGCTGTTGGTTCTCCTGAAGGAGCCTACCATGGCTAGCTTTCCCAGTATGAGTTTGGCCATTATCATCAGAGGAGCTTAGGACCTTGTTAGTGAGAATGGCTGTAGTTCACTTTGGGGGAGCTCTGGCCCTTACACCAAACATCACTTTCTGGCTCCAGAGGGGAAGATGTGTGCCATCTCCATTTAATCTCCAGGAGAAGCTTATCACACTGGCTTTCTGGCAAGTACTTGACTGTTCTTATCATTGGAGGAGCTCAGGACTCTGTGTCACTGAGGATGGCTGTGATATCCTCAGGGAAGCCCTGGTCTTTATTTTGAACATGACTTTGGGGCTTTAGTGTAAACCCTCAACCTACCAGCACAGCTCCTTCACCCTGCTGGTATAGACTTTCTAGCTTCCACCACTGACCGTGAGCCTTCCCAGTGCAGATCTGTAAAACAGACTGGCATTCATCCTTCTTATAGGCTCTAGACCTCCAGTTGGACTCATGGGAGGCACTTTCATGGGCTCTAGATTTTCATCTGGACTTATGCAGGACACTGCTGTGGGATCTATGCCCTTGGCTATAATGGAGTGATTAAGCATTTCATGTTGTCAGCAGATTTCCTTCACTCTCTTGTGTTTAAATCTGGACGACCATCATAAAAATATTGTAAATTCTGTGTCATGATTCTAACTGTTCCTTGCACAATGCCTGATTACAACACCAACCTTATCAAATAAAAGGAAAGAAATACTCAAATCCACAAGATTAGGAGTGAAAAGAGTGAAATCACAACAGACCCTACAGATATCCAGAAGATCTCTATATTTACTTTGAAAACTTGTGTTCTAACAAGATAGAAAGTACAGAATAAATGGACAGATTCCTAGATATACATGAATTACCAAAGCTGATTCAGGGAGATATAAACATCCTTAATAAACCAATATCAATCAATAAAATTGAAGATGTACTTGAAAACCTTTCAATAAAGAAAAGCCCAAGCCCTGATGTATTCACTGGTGAATTCTAAAAGAAATCTAGAGAAGACCTAGCACCACTTCTTCTCAAACTCTTTAATGAAATAAAAAGGGAAGAAATGCTCCAAAATTCATTCTTGGAAGCAAGCATTATCTTATACCAAAGCTGGAGAAGGACCTAACTAAGAAGGAGAATTACAGGCAAATTTCTCTAATGCACACAGACACAAAACTCCTCAAGAAGATAATGGAACAATACAGCAAATTGTCAAAAAGATTATACAATATAATCAAGCAGGACTCATCCCAGAGATGCAGGGATGGTACACCATATATAAATCAATCAATTTCATACACAGAGCCAAGGTCAAAAATCATACGATCA